TACTCACGTCTGTCCGTACAATTTAACATCAATACTTGATTGTTTTATTTTTGTAGCGCAGATTCTTTTGGATATTTGTTCCTATATCTGGATACATTTATCAATTTTTAAAAGAAAATTATGCCTGAGCAAGTAAATTATAAATGAATAAATGAATGGGTGATTCCATATTGTTCTTGTTTAGATAAAATTTAGCATTGTATTTGGCTAAAACTTGATGATTCTGGAACATTTTTAATCACAAAGAATATCTAAGTACATTAATGACGTTTAAGGATCCCAGTACCACTGTCAAAAATTGTAACTAAGTGTTGGATTTTTTTTCTGGCATGACTATAACTTTGATAAATCATTTCTGAAAAGAAAACCATACCTTGCAGGACTTTTATAAGAATTGATAAAGATGAATAAAGAAAATATGATCAACAACAGTGTTCTGGGTGTAAAAGTTATCGGGTCTAGAAAGAGATTTGAACCCTGGACTTCGGATTGTTATACTATCTGGCACAACAGTTCTACAGTTACATTCAAACGGAAGTTAAGGGGAGGTTACTATATACATAGGAAAAACAGCAGTGCAGTGGGACAGGGATCCTTAAAAGTTGTCTCCTTTAAGCTTACTGCTACGATATTTATATCAACAATATGTATTAGAGTTGTCTCCCTTGCAGTTATATGCTACCATATCTTAAGGATACATGCTATCTTACACATTATACTTGTGATTTATAATATTATCATCTGCCTTAAGGATATATGCTATATTATACACTTGAGTTATGGTTGTGATTTGTGTTAGAGTTATATCCCTTGAGGATATGTTAGATTTGTCTCTGTTTCAGATATGATTCAGTCATCTCCCTTGAGAATATATACTATTTAACACATGATACCTGGTTTTTGTGTTAGAGTTATCTCCCTTCAAACTTTAGTATTATCTGATAAATTAAACCTGTCTGAACTTATTGACTGCATACAATCATTTGTGTTTTCAGGTATATTCTAATTTGTATTTTTCAATGTGTTTGATATATTTACCATCTTGTCAAAGATAGTGTATGGATTTACAAATGAAACTTGTTAGGGAAAACGTGCAATTGTACGGATAGAAAACTAATATTCCCTTAAAAATAAGTATTTCGAAAATTATATTTTTAAATTATTAAGTGTCCAGAAAGTGGTCATCGAGGCCAAGTTATGCAAAGCTTAATTGGCGGAGAGTTGTTAAAACAGATTTAATTCACATGTATCTTTGTGTTTGTTTTAAATCTAAATAAGATCTATATAGACATAGCTTTGTTTTTCATTTTCAATATTTTTTCAACATATACTAGATGGACGTTTTGTTTTAAATTGCTCATGCTTGCAGGTTCTGAGGTTGGTTTGATAAATGTCTGTCGTAACCTGAGTAAGAATGAATTTCTCCTGAAATGTCACACCGTACACTCAACAATGCTAATAAGTCTTGATTCACTTTTACAAGTAATTAACAAAAATAGAAAAAAAAACTTTCTTAAAATCAATGGAAGGTTTAACACCAGGTAAGTTGTGTACTCAGTGTAGGGTACCGATGTTTCCACCGAGCCGAGCGCTAACGCTATCTCCTCACTGTCACCTTTTTTCTCACTAATCAATATCCTACAAGAGCTTGTAATGCAGGCACAGTTCCATTATTGATAAGTCAATATTTGTTGAACAAGGAACGGGAGCCAGAACGTGCAGTGAAAGTGTTGACCTTTGACCCCCTTCAATGCTTCAAGTCTATTTGATGTAGTAGATGTCATTAAGTTGTCCTGTCATTATTTGAGATTTGAGATACCGACACACTAAGTGTTATATGACAAGACTCCTGCACGTCACAGCTAAATTTCCATTTTAATCAGGAATAACTGTTTAGGCCAAACAGCCAATGCAATTTTCAAGGAGTGACTTCTCTATATTTGCCCTTCACTGGTCAAATCTATGTCCCCCCTTTATACCCGAACATTTTTGCCGAAGTTTAATTTTTTTCGTGACCTTTTTGCCCTCCATAACTAGGGCAAATTTATCAGTACAGGGAATATAAGTCGATGCCATAACATACATACCATGTAGTAATTTTATGTGAAGGGCAAAGTTTACACTGGGTGAAAAATTATTTCATGGACGAAGGGCAAAGTTTGACGGTATACAGTAATTTCACCCATGTCTGCCGATTCTCCCTATTTTGGACCCTAAAATTAAAAAGTTTCAACCATTGAATTTGCTGAACTATTCCTATTTTCTAAGATGTGATGATTTCATCTGAAGGCTCAAGAGATGCCTTTTAAGAGTTGTTTTTTCCCTAAGATGTATTTACACACATTTAGATTAATATTATGCTTGTAATTCTGAGCATGCGTAATCTCCCCCATGGAAATTTTAAAAAGTTTCACCCTTCAGGTATTATATTTGCTATATATTGTATGGTGTGTACCAATATTTACTTCCTTGATAATTCGCCCTTATTCCTGAAGGTGAAAACAAAGTGAAAGTGACTGTTGCAAAAGTGATGATGTAGTTAATTGGTTGAGGAGAAAATCACCCCCTTGTGATGCCTGTACCTGCTGAGGTAATATGTAACCGATCTGTCAGGATATGGTGAGGTGGTTTAACTCATTCATACCGAAAGTCACATTTGAACTCTTCCAATTCAAAGTTTTGAATAGCCAATCATCCAATGTCAGGGGTAAACGAGTTAAGCCTTTGCTTTAACCATAGATCTACTTCTGTAGTTGACTATTTTTGGAATTCAATCCTTACCCAATACGAAATGAACATTATTGATGAGAACTTATTGTCAAAAGATTCCAATTTCTCACAATTGCCTTTTCTAAGGCTATACAATAAAACATTTATCCGTCTTAAAATGTCAACTTGTCTTGATTGAAAATCCAAATTTAATGACAGCGCCAGTTGTCCTTAAATATCAGGAGGCCTTGAAAGAAGAAAATGAGATTGGAAGGAAGATCACATACGTATAGGATTGAAGTTTTTTTATTCCTATTTACTGTAAACTAGGACACAGATATGGCTAGAAACATATTTTACAAATTATATCTTAATTGAGTTTCTGTGATTTTTAGCTTAACTGATTCACCCCTGAAATTTCATTATGAACTATTCCAGCCTTTGAATTGGAAGAGTTCAAATGTGTCTTCAGGGGTGAATGAGTTAATGATGTTGCTAATATTAATATCCTTAGTAACTATAAAAGCATTAATCCACTTTGAAGTTCTCAGCTATCTAGCGTCACATACAAAATGTACCCAGTATTAAGGCTTTGGGGTTTGGTCCTGCACTGCTCTGATATTGTAAATATTTAAATAAATTAAAGATTTATTGAGTATAATAATTAACTCAAAGCTGAATCAGCTGAACATGTCTGTTATGTAAAGTTTGAAAAAAAAGCTGAATATGTCATTTATGCAAATTTAAAAAAAAACTACCCCTCCTGAAAAGCTGATCAGATTTCAACCAACTTTGCATGGATCCTTATTGGTTCTGGAGAATAATTTTTGTTTTCAATGCAGTTAACACTGAGTAAACATTTGTTAACTCACTGTCCTCCATGTTTGTTTTCCGCTTTGTTTGAAATGTCGTTATCATTGACATCCAGCTCATATACTGAACAACTAGAGAAAGATCAGAAAAAAAATGTTGATTTCAGTCAGTGCATCATTGAAATTGAAGAATATTTACCGCAGATATTTGCAGCAGATGTATTTATAGCTGTAACTTAATTTTGACCCAAGGAGAGCGTGGCGGGGCGTGGGTTTCGACAGTTGGTGCTCGGCTTATAGAGACCTATGATTACTGCTTATTGAATTATTGCTCGTAGACAGAGACAAGAACTGAAAAAATAATTACAAGCATCGACAAAATCATTGAAAATGGTGTAATTATGTTGAGCTTAAGGTACCAGTGTTAACATAATGGTTTACCACAACTACCCTTATTTTCTGGCAATGGGCTGGCCTTAATAACTGTTGGGACAGTCTTTATTGATTATTTTAGGGGTGTTTGGTTGATTTGTACAGAAAGTGAAAGGAGTTTGAAGGGGTCATTATTTGTAGAGTATTAAATTATGATTTTTGCTGAGGTCATCAAAGTGAAGACAAATCCACTGAAATCAAGATTTAAGAGAGGTCACCAGCTAGCAGATTTTAATAGGATTTGCCATTTTATTTTATTAGTTTAAAATGATATTCTGTATATCTTATTTTTTTTGTGATGAACTATTTTCAGTAAATTCTCAAATGCAGAACAATTTCTGCATATATGTACCTTTCAAATGTTTTACATTTTGGGGAAGAAATATACACAGAATAATATTCATCTGTTGTGTTTTCAGCAGTTTAAATTCGAGACACCAGTCATTTACATTCTTTGCTTGACAAAGGAAACAGACTTTTCGAAAACTCGCACAAAAGAAATTTTTCAATTCCTGTTTTTTTTTCTCCAAAACAAACTTAGCATTTAAACTAACAGATTTCATTGTTCCATAATGAAGTACTTAATCACATGGTGTTTTGTAGACAGGCATGGCATTGTGTACCCAATATAATTTTTGACCAATTAGAATGAAGTATTTGATCACATGGTGTTTTATAGACAGGCGTTGCATTGTGTACCCAATATAGTTTTTGACCAATTAGAATTAAGTATTTGGTCACATGATATTTTATTGACATGTATACCATTGCCCATATAGCAGAATTTGTCACCCAATCAAAATACAGTATTTGGTCACATGATGTTTTATTGACAGGTATACCATTGCACACATAGTATAATTTTGTCATCCAATCAGAATGTAGTATTTAATCATGTGACATTTGTTTTAGAGGTATGACATAGCGTATGTACCCAATATACTTTGTCACCAAATCAGAATAAAGTATTTGATTACATGACATTTTGTTGACAACTTGTCACCCAATCAGAATGAAGTATTTGATCACATGACATTTTGTTGACAGGTATGGCCCTACTTGCCCTGTATGTTTTCCTGTTTATACTGTGTATACCACCAATGTTCATACAACACAAACTGGGAGGCTACGAACAGAAAGGCATTGTGGGACTGTTTTCCAGATATCTGCCGATTGCAAAGGGTAAGTTAACATTTGACCAATCAGATAATCATAAAACTCTATGTTGATAAACTATGTACCTTCCATAGCGAGGCTAAATTTATCTAGCAACTAAAAGTACACAGCGTTTTATGTCAAGTAATGCCATTGGAAAAGATAAAATAACACCAGGCAAATTGTTTTCTGAAACAATTTAAAAAAAAATAGTGCTTAAGTATAAATATATATTGATACAAAGTCTCTAGCATCAGCCTTTTAGAAGTTAGTTGGACCAAGCCTATAGTTGTATTACTTTTTCAGATGCATCTGACACTTTGATTGACTTAAAGAAGTTGATGTTGACTGACCTCTGACTCTTGACCTTTAGTTGTTACTTGATTGGATGTTGACTGACCTCTGACATTTGACCTTTAGTTGGTGCTAGAATAGATGTTGACTGACCCGTGACATTTGACCTATAGTTGTTATCAATTATCGATTAATCTCCTACCTGTGTTACAGGGCCTATTTAATTACCTTTGACCTTTGTACTTGGGATGACCTTGATAACTAACCTTTAGCCTTTGTTACAGGAGTGGGTGTGGCCCTGCTGATTGACCTGTTCCTGACCTGTGTGTACTTTGCGCCCTTGGTTTGTCACTTTGGGATGTACGCAGTGATCTCTATGATCCAGGAGCCATACCTGTGGGAGGGCTGTAGTAACGTATGGAACACGGACAAATGTGTGGAGAACCTGCCTGTAACGTACGTACTTCTATACAATATACACGGCTAAGTGTCGGATTTCTCTATTGTGTCAAATTCTCACAAAAAGGTTATTTGAAGCATATTTCGCAAATTCAAGTTTTCGTAAAAGTTCTGTTATTTATAGTTTAGTATTAAGTTTGGATGTTTTAGCAAGGTTTACTTGTTCCCAGATTCACATGCATTCCTTAGCTTAACCTTTTCACCACTGTAGACCATAATTGACTCATCCAGATCAATGTATGGTAAAGTCTACTAAAGTTACCTAGGGGTGAAAGGGTTAGGGAAAGTCCTTAGCCTAAGACTTTCTGTTGGAAATCATTTTAGGAAAAATCTAAATACAGTAAATAGGCTTCGATCGTGGCTGGGACGTGTTGACATACCCAGGTCTATAGTACAATTTACCACTAAATACAGTGCATAGACCTCGATCGTGGCTGGGACGTGTTGACATACCCAGGTCTATAGTACAATTTCCCACTAAATACAGTACATAGGCCTCGTGGCTGGGACGTGTTGACATACCCCGGTCTATAATACAATTTACCACTGAATACAGTACATAGGCCTCGTGACTGGGACGTGTTGACATACCCAGGTCTATAGTACAATTTACCTCTAAATACAGTACATAGGCCTCGTGGCTGGGACGTGTTGACATACCCCGGTCTATAGTAAAATTTACCGCTAAATATAGTACATAGGCCTCGTGGCTGGGACATGTTGACATACCCAGGTCTATAGTACAATTTACCACTAAAAACAGTACATAGGCCTCGATCGTGGCTGGGACGTGTAGACATATCCAGGTCTATAATACAATTTAACACATAATACAGCAAATATATACCTCACGACTGTGACGTGTAGACATACTCAGGACTATTATATAATTTAACACTAACAGTGTGGGCCTCATAGTAGTATTGTTTTTACTTACAGCATGCACTCTCAAAACGAGGGAGTGTATTACAACCGGTTGTCGTAAGTAACACACTAACTGTCTGTGGGGATAGTTTGGTCAGTTTTGTTTTCAGTGTTGCTTTAAGCTTTTGTCTTCGTCACCTTTAAATGTGTTGTGTGTTGGATTAAGCGTAAGATCATGTTCTGCACACCATAAGGCTGATATTTCTGAAGAGAACATATCCAGAATTAAGGATACTTAACTCATTCACCCCTGAAGTCACATTTGAACTCCTCCAACCAAAAGGTTGGAATAGTTCATTATGAATTTTCAGGGATAAACGAGTTCAATAATGCATTGTATCAAAGCCCAAGTACAACTTCAATTGAGTTTTCTTTCAGTTAGAAGCAATTCTGAAAATGCTTTCTTCTGTTGTTATGTAATGTCTTCAGCGTTACTGTCAATGTTAAGACTTGTTACAGAATATTTAAGGGAGGTAACTGTAATTGGAAATCAAGGGAGGTAACTAATTATTAACACTTGTAATTGTGTAGTAGCATATACTAGAGTAACAGTTATCATTGCTAACACTTTTAACAACATATATTAGGGAGGTCACTCATCATTTACTCTAAGGGCGATAACTGTGCAGGATTTGATAAATAATTCTTTTATCACAAAACTGACCCATTTTACTATGTCATAAGGCCATGTCATAAATATGGTATTACACACGTGTAATAAAACGTGAAGGTGCTGCGATTGGTCAAAACCATGGGAACATCTTCCTACGCCACTACAGGTGCTGCCTTTATCTACTGTATTATATGATACACTTTTTGTTATTTTAAATGATTTTGAAACATTGTTTTGTCATTATTATTTTTATTGCATGTAAAATTATTCATTAATAAACAAAGAAGTATTCTGGAACTACTTTGCGCTGTACAATAGGTTTTTACCTATTTATAGTCAGCTGATAACACATTATTGTGTTTAAATATTTTTTTTCAAATTATGAATTTTAGGTGATAAATAGAATCATACATTCATGCCCATGTCATATTGAATTTATCAAACTCCTTCAATAATTTGATATGACGCTTGCCTAAAGGCTCATGTAATATCAAATTATTGAACTTGTTAAATAAATACAATATGACATGGACACTCATGGAAGTTCTCTATTTATGATCTGAGGGATTGTATTTAATTATTTCATTGCATGACTTATCACCTCTTGTAATCAATTCAGATATCAGTTTTCTTTAAGAGTTTTACTCTCCTTCTACTTATATTAAGCAAGTTTTGTTTTAAGGCTTCTTTTGTTGAGTTATAATGATTTATATATATAGGATCTTACTTGAGTTTCCATTTCATATGAGATTTATGAACCAAGTCTCAAAAACAATTAGTCGAGCTAAAATGAAAAACTTGTGACAAGTTTCATAAATTTCATATGAAATGAGATCGAGTGTAAGATCCTTTATATCACATAATCATGATTTGTGGCATTTATTCATGTTAAGCAACAATTTTCATGCAACCTTGAAATGTAAAAAGCCGCCATTTTGACTCAAGTGCGTAAGTCTGTGACGTCATGTACTTGTCCTAGGCCTGACGTCACAATTGAAACTTAAACCATGCGCTCACAGGGCTGATAGGTCATATTACATGGGTTAATACACAAAAAGATATGACATGGGTATATTTACTGGATAACACAGTACATTATGTGATAAAAACATGCATATTCTACTTTCTTCTTTTGTTGTGAATTTCTTTTTATTGCCTCATCAATGATTGTGTATGGTTGTTTGGGAGTTTTGTCCACTAACATCAGTGTCCACGTTAACAAACATACACTAACTTTAAGGTAAAGTCAAAGAGAGGGCAACATCGAGCATAAAGAAATTTTAATTTTGGTTTCGGTAGTGTCATGGATATGTGGTTTGAAGTATGCCTGAATGTTTTTCAGAATGAGTAAATGTGTTTGCATTGACATATTGCAGTAATTCAAGATTACGTTGTAGTGGACTGACATCGTTGCTGCCTTTTTTTTTTACATGTTTGCCATAAGGATTCCTGTACCACTGTTTTTCCAGCATTGTGGGATTTTATGAGAAATCATAAAGATTAAATAAACAAAATTTTATTCAACACTACTGTTCTGAGTGTAAAAATTTAACGGGTCCAGAATGGGATTTGAACCCCGGACTTCAGATTATTTTACTATCGCTCTAACTGATTGAGATACCTGGTCAACGGAAGTGTACCTGAGCTGGGCTACGTTTCTAAACGGAAGTAAAGGGGAGATAACTGTCTATAAGAAAAAACCTCATAGCAGTTGGACAGGGATCCTTAATATCAATAATAAATATATAAGCAGAGTAACTATTTTCTCAGTATTTTGATTGAATGTTGGGTGTATGATAAGTTTATAAAGAATTGTGACAGGTGATAAATTGCCACCAAAATCCTCTGTCCTTTTTAATTTTCAAAAATTAGTTTTACCTTTTATTTGTCTTTTTATAAAAGTTTGCTTATGACAATATAGGCACAAGTATTTTATTGCTGGTTTACAATTCCAAAACAAAACTGTCTGTAAGGCTCTTTGTTGCCCATGGGTAGGGAAATTCTATTAAAGGGGTTTTCAATTTTGGGAAACCCGAGGCTTCCAAAGGTTTTGCACTGATTTGAAAATCCTGAGGGTGTAAGTTCCCTATTGTACACCCCTGGGCATGAAGAGTTTTTTTTCTCTCATTCCAATCACTAGAATTAGCTCAGAGACCACAGTAAGGTGTCAGCAGTTTACTTGTCACACGGAATATTCTGATTTTGTGACGTCCCATCGTTATTGTCCTATTGTGACGCTCCTCTTGTGTCCTCGATGGCCTGTGCAGTTCTGTCAAAAATGCACAGGAATGGGACAAAAATGTGAAAACATCTATTCCGTCTTTGCGTATTGCAGAGTTATCTTCTCTTTGGAGCAGGTATTGATTGTTACGTCACTTGTTTGTGAGAGTAACGTCATCAATTTTTGGGAAAATGACGTAATTTTCTCACACAGACCAATGACGTAACAATCAATACCTGCTCCCAAGAGAAGATAACTCTGCAATACGAAAAGACGGAACATTGATATACACAGGTCATCGTTAATCTTGTGAACTGCAAGCACAAATGAAAAAGACAATACTTAATTTATAATGGTATTGACTGCAACATGATTTTTCTTCATCTGATCTAATAAACTCAATCGTAGAATAGTTACGACTTCCACTTGTAGGTACTGTATAAGGCATGTTTGTTATATACTAACGATGTTTTAGTTTGTAACTTTCTCCTAGTTATAGAAGGCAGACTTGACTCGATAAAAGATATATGATGATATAATTTTGTTTAATATAAGATGTTATCGTTTATTTTTTATATACGGAGGTAGGTTATTATCATGTATTTTTTTATATAGGTTATTATTGTTTATTTTTTTATATAGGTTATTATCGTTTATTTTTTTATATAGGTTATTATTGTTTATTTTCTCCTCACAGAGGACAGGCATCAGATGTTGCTAGACAGACGCCAGAAAAGGAATTCTTCAAGTAAGTATTAAAACAATAGTTCACACGAATTTCTTGTTACTAAGAGTGGTAGCAGCGTAAAGGAGTTTGTGGTAAAGTGTTTTATTAATCTATGCTACAACTGTATTGATTCAGGGAAATAAACAGACTTCATTGATAAAATGCAGTTGAAAGTTAACAGCTCTTGTTTATATTAGTTTATAACGAAATATTTAAAATCAAAGCTTGTCTACAGACATTTAAGAACAACCTTTTCGTTATATTTCCAAATGGAAAAGGTAAACCTTTAACTAGAATATTAATGAAGAATTATGCTATTTCAAACATTTCTCAGATACAAAAATATTTCTTTGTATCATTCTCAAATTTGTTAAAAAGTTGCCAAACTTTACCTATTAAATCATTCACCCCTGAAATTTTATAATGAACTAGTCCAACCTTTGAACTGAACGAGTTTAAATATGTCTTCAGGGGTGATGTGTTAATCATCTTTTCAATTATAGGAGCGATTGATTAGTTTTCAACATTGATAATTCTTCTATTATTTTTTATCCTTGGCACTTAACTTATTACTTGTGTATCTACCGTTTGACTGTTTAGCATGCAGTACCTTCAGATCACTGATAAGATCTCGGACATCCGAGGATTTCCCGTGTGGAACAACACCGCTCCATTCCATGATATTGGATTCTCCATGCTTCCAGTCGGCCTCACTGTTGTCTGGATTGTCGTGTTCCTCATCGTGGGATTTGGCGGCCGAGTCTGTGGCTGGGTATGTATCGGAATCTCTGATTGGATGAAGGATAAGCTGTGTATGTATCAGGTTTTCTGATTGGTTAAATGGCATACTATAAATTGTTAAAATTTTGCTTTGCTAAGTTTTACAGTAGTTCTCAGGTATTTTGATATAATTTTGTCATTTTTGGATCAAAAATCTTGTTAAAGGTAAAATGGTTGAAATAAAATACTGGCAAGTATTTACCATTTTTCTGTAGTCTCCAACATTTTTATCCATCATTGATTGGATGAGTGATGTATGTTCTTTTGCTTGATAATCATGTATCTAGCTGTTTGATTGGCTAAATATATATAAAAGAAAATGTCTAATGTTTGAGTATGTGTTATTGTGAATTCACTATACTGTATTCTGTGGTGAGCAGTACTCTCACTAAGTTTCGAAACGTGTGGTAGATTTGAAAATCATTGCTTGCTTAATGTTCAGATGCAGTAATATTGACCTATAGATATTAATAATTCTGACAAAAATAGCCGGACCAAATTTGACGAATAGCAGCCAGTGTTAAATGAAAACACTGGTTAGATATATTATAAAAATCACTCGGTCGGCATATTTTGGAAAGAGTTTTTATTTTCAACTCCATTTTTGACTATGAAGGTAGACAAATTGAATTAATTAATAGCATACAATTACAGCTCAAACTATCGTTTTATACAATTGTTATTGAATTGAGTCATTTAAGTACTTTTAAAACAGTTTAAAATGTTGCCAGAAAATAGCTCTGACATGAAAAACTTTAAAAAAAATTGGTATGTAATATCAAAGTTTTACTTTATGCACGTTTATTTGTGTTTAAATTAAAACTTTGATATAACATATTTCAAAAATTATGAATCTTATTGAAGAAATAGGGAAGTACCCAGTATGATTAATTCCGAGGCTTAAGTGTTTACTCTCTGTATAATGTTAAATAATTGCAGTATTACAAAGTCTACCGTTGATACATACTCTCCTGATCTGTGTATACATGCCGACTGGATTCCTTGTACTATTTGCGGTTCCATTTAACCACGCGAACCACAAAAACCAATCACACAACAACTGTCGGTGTCATGATGTAAATCTTAGTCACACGGATTAGTGAATGAATGTTTTATCTGCGTGACTCGAGAATTACTGATTCAGGTCGTCTGATTTCGTGAAATTTGGAAGATGTGTCACACTGCTGGTCCACTTAAAATTCTCATCCTCGTCAACTTTAAGCAGGACATACATGTATATTGTCCAGAGGAAAGCTGTGCTCTTTAATCTCTGTGCCTCAGAAAACTGTTTAACTGGAGAAATTTCTTAAAATAAAGAAGTAATACTGTGTTTATGGTGATAAGCCAAGGGGGCCTGTGGATATAAAAATAGTCAAGGTAGAGGTTACGCTTAGTTTTTGATGCTGTGTCAACACAGGACTGGAGGGACTTAAAGTCCCAATCCTTTAATCACCAGAAACTGTGTCCGATACATTCTGATGGTTAGCTTAACATATATTCAGACTTTTTGTTATCTAAGTTTTACAACAGCCTGTTCCTTATGAATTGGGAAAAAAATAGCATTATTTGTATTGAAATTGGGCATAATTATATTCCTCAGTTATTACCAGACATGATCTTATCATCGGTATAATACAACAATACACCAGACATGATCTTATCACCGGTATAATATGGTTACTAAAAATTGTATTGATCATTCAAGTTTCTGGTTTTAGACACATGTTGCATTGTTAAAATATTACTGTGTTATATACAGTGGTATATGTCCATCTGTATTATAACATTTCCCCAGGTGAGGAAGGCAATGGGTTCTCTCCCCAGGCCAGGACATATACCTAAGTCCTTAAAGCGAGAGTTTCCTGCAGAACGTTCAGCATTTAGGCAAATGGCAACAACTGGTTTACCTATTGTCAGTATAATGTGACTGAGTTGAACACTGTCATGGTTGCCTTTGACATGTTATTTCAGTGAGATAGCACTATAAATTTGGCAAAAGATCCACGGTTTAATCACATGGAGGCAAGTACACCAATGTAATGCCTCTATAGTAGACATCCACACACGGTGGCACATCCTTAACCCTGTCACCACTGTAGATCATAATGAACTCATCCATATCAATGCATGGGAAAGTCTACTAAAGTTACATAGGGGTGAAAGAGTTAAATTACCTAAGTTGTTGATAGGATGCTAAACAAAATAAAACCAAACCAAACAATGTTATGATCTCTGTCCAGTGTAATCCACAGTACAAATGTTTAGTGATTACAGAATTTTTGTGTAATACAATGTTGACGGTTTTGTTATATCCAGATCCTGTTTGTGATGTGCCCTGGGTTCCTGGGTACGCTATTTGCTGTCTTAGTATACGGCTACATGAACCTAGACAAGGCCGCCTCAAACCAATTCCTCAGCAGATTCTACAACCTGAACTTTGATGGTTTTGTTGACATCCGTACCAACAGAAAACTCATCACGGTAAAGGATTTATTCTGAAAATAATATTTGTTGTTCTGGACAAAGAAATACTGATTTGAGGAATCTAAATATTCAGTTGTCTCGGTTGTCACTTTATTTCCCCAGCTGTTCCTGTTGGGTTTATTCTAAAATTCTTCACTGATGATCTATTGAGAAGATGTTATTTTGTTATTGATAATAATTATCAGTTGATTTAATATTTCGGAAAAAAAATCAAATTTTAAATTGGGCCACTTCAACCTGGAGAAAAAAAGGTGATTGGCAGTGTTTATCACATCCTTGATATCCAGGGGTTACGCTCACTTTCGATCTCTACACTCCTGGAATATGTCATAGCGAAATTGAAGGCACACTGCCAGCTATTTGATTGGTGTCAGGTAAACTAACCTGACCAGTCACTAGGCTGATACTTGTGAAGATCACAGAGGAGCGACGCCCGACTTCAAAGCCAGTAAGTTTTAGGAGTGACGCCCGACTCCAAAGCCAGTAAGTTTTACGAGTGACGCCCGACTCCAAAGCCAGTAAGTTTTACCGTTACACGATCAGGAGATTCTTTCATCAAAGGATCAAACTAGTTTTCTCATCTCATCCACAAAGTGGTGCAAAACTGAACCTTTGATTTTGCTATGACATATTCCAGGAGTCCAGACAGTGAAAGTGAGCAGCACCCTGGGAGAATCGAGGATGAAATAGAGTAGATATGGTACAAACCTGGAAAATTGTACTTGACCCCTGTGACCTTGAAAGTAGGTCGAGGTCAAATATATGCAGAAACTGTATTGTCACTTATTTCTATGAAACAGAACTGGGAGAAAGGGTTTAGCCTCCTGATGAACTAATTTCTAACTTATTTCTATGTAACAGGACGGGGAGAAAGGGTTTAGTCTCCTGATGAACTCATTTCTAACTCATTTCTATGTAACAGGACTGGGAGAAAGGGTTTAGCCTCCTGATGAACTCATTTCCTGTGTGGACAGCCATTCCTGCCACCCTGGGCAAGATGACTGGGCGAGGCAAAGTCAGCCGTAACTTGTAAGTCACAGTCTGAAACAGGCCAGTAAAAAAACAGATGAGCCAAAGTCAGCAGCATTTTCCCAGTGGAAAATGGAAATAAGGTTGAAATGATGAAAGTAATTTATTTATAAATTCGCCAAAAATATTTCAATTTTGTTTGATGCTGTGATGTTAATGAAGGCTACACAACTGATTTATTTTCTGACTAGAATTTACCAATTCAGTGTAACTTTTATTATAATATTGTTTCCGTCTGTTTTGTGTTTACTTATATTATAATGTTTATTTTCGGCTATTTTCTGTTTGAACAGGGGTTGGCTACTTATCATACTTGTATATGCCTGCATAGTCCAGGTACCTCAGCTAGCCATGGCTCCCTATCTAGGCAACCTGCTCGACAAAACCTCGTCATCCCTACCCGAGAGCACCTTCCTAGGTAAGGGCCCTATTGATACACATGTGCTCTAAGGGAGAGCACTCTAGTGACATTGGTTGTTTTTTCCATTAAACATTGACTATATATATACATGCTACTCCTATTATATGTGTCTTTGTTAAAACTTTTAGGCAACACCTACATGGAGTGTAAATAAAAATATTTGTTTAAGAATTTTTAATCACAAACAAAATCTGCATTCGATTTAAATGCATTTTAACTCATTCACCTCTGAAGACACATATGAACTCTTCCAATTCAAAGGTTGGAATAGTTCATTATTAAATTTTCAGGGGGGAATGGGTTGAATGATTTTTTAACTATCAAAACAATACTAGGCAGTTAAACGGCTTGTAGCTGATATTGATTTGAACAGCTTTAGTTAAAAAAATAAAATACAAATTATTCTAACTGCTATTGAAAAAAAAAATGAAAAAAAATCTATAACTCTGCTACTGCCGTGTGTGTATAAATCTATATAGATCTAGATGTGTATATAAACCTAAACTAAACTTGACATCTTTCCAACTAACATCTGTTTCTGATTCTAAAGTCCTCAGATTAATTTAGATGCTTTAACAGTAGTTTGTGTTACTAGTATCCTAAGAAGTGTATTTCAGTGAGTTCTATCGACTCCTGTTGTGTTGGTGCTGTTATCTGTATACGAGTAGGGCATTTTAGTAGGGTTTTCTTCTGTTATGATTTGCTCACATTATCAGAATTTACCCATGTGATGAATTTTTGTGACAGTAACTACTAGAATATTTTTCTTCAGAAATATTGTTTTGTATGAATATATCCTATCGGTGAATATTTTTAGTTGGCAGAGCCATTTTGTATATTATTTACATTTATTTTGTATAATATAGTTAAAAGATTTGTTCTTTAAATAGATGACAACTATTTTGTAAATCAGTGAAAATTATTCTATTAATAGGTGATAGATTTATTACACTCTGGGTTTATTAATCGTTATCATCATCAAACTAAAATACTGTTTTCCATAATCACTGTCTTTACGATTATATTTGAGTTATCAAGAGTATTGTTTCATGTTAGATTATTTTTTATTATAATTTATTATAATTTAGTGTTTGCTTACTCCTGAATGTTTGTTGTTTGAGTAGAAATATAGACATTTATATAAGCTGCATGACATTCTGAAACAGTCTCTGGCAGATGATTCACAAGTTTGTTTATTGGTGACTTCAAAACTGAATATAAAACAAATCTTTACATAGCTTACTTTATCTTACCATACTGTACACTGGGAAAGTATTACCCGGTCAAACTTTTGCCCTACGACGGTAAAATCTATATTCGCCCAGTCAACTTTCACCCTACAACAGTAAAATCTTTTTTACTCGGTCAATTTTTGCCCTACAACAGTAAAATCTGTATTCGCTAAGTCCAACTTTCACCCTACAAAGGTAAAAACTATATTCACCATGTCAGAATTTCACCCTACAACAGTAAAATCCTTATTTGCCCAGTCAAACCTTCACCCTACAACATTAAGATCTACATTCACCAAGTCAACTTTTGCCCTACACTGGTAAAAACTATATTCACCCAGTCAAACTTTCACCCAACAATGGTAAAATTCTTATTTGCCCAGTCAAAGTTTCAACCTACAACATTAAAATCTGTATTCGCCAAGTCAAAGTTTCGCCCTGCAACATTAAGTTCTTATTTGCCCAGTCAAAGTTTCGACCTACAACATTAAGTTCTTATTTGCCCAGTCAAAGTTTCGACCTACAACATTAAGTTCTTATTTGCCCAGTCAAAGTTTTGCCCTGCAACATTAAGTTCTTATTTGCCCAGTCAAAGTTTCGACCTACAACATTAAGTTCTTATTTGCCCAGTCAAAGTTTCGACCTACCACATTAAAATCTGTATTCGCCAAGTCCAACTTTTGCTTACAATGGTTTACTCAACCTGTGTTAACTTGGCCCTCCACATCAGATAACTTTGTTAACTTGGCCCTCCACATCAGATAACTGTGTTAACTTGGCCCTCCACATCAGATAACTGTGTTAACTTGGCCTTCCACATCAGATAACTGTGTTATTTTGGCCCTCCACATCAGATAACTGTGTTAACTTGGCCCTCTACATCAGATAACTGTGTTAACTTGGCCCTCCACATCAGATAACTGTGTTAACTTGGCCTCCACATCAGATAACTGTGTTAATTTGGCCCTCCACATCAGATAACTTTGTTTGATATGTTGATTACCTAAATGTTTGGTGTATTAATAAATTGTCCCTCGTTATGGACCTCAGATTGTTATACTAAAGGCCACACTAGGACTCCAACTCTGGACCTCATATTGTTATACTAAAGGCCACACTAAGGCTCCAGCTCTGGACCTCAGATTATTATACTTAAGGCCACACTAGGACTCCAACTCTGGACCTCAGATTGTTATACTAAAGGCCACACTAGGACTCCAACTCTGGACCTCAGATTGTTATACTAAAGGCCACACTAGGACTCCAACTCTGGACCTCAGATTGTTATACTAAAGGCCACACTAGGACTCCAACTCTGGACCTCAGATTGTTATACTAAAGGCCACACTAGGACTCCAACTCTGGACCTCAGATTGTTATACTAAAGGCCACACTAGGACTCCAACTCTGGACCTCAGATTGTTATACTAAAGGCCACACTAGGACTCCAACTCTGGACCTCAGATTGTTATACTAAAGGCCACACTAGGACTCCAACTCTGGACCTCAGATTGTTATACTAAAGGCCACACTAGGACTCCAACTCTGGACCTCAGATTGTTATACTAAAGGCCACACTAGGACTCCAACTCTGGACCTCAGATTGTTATACTAAAGGCCACACTAGGACTCCAACTCTGGACCTCAGATTGTTATACTAAAGGCCACACTAGGACTCCAACTCTGGACCTCAGATTGTTATACTAAAGGCCACACTAGGACTCCAACTCTGGACCTCAGATTGTTATACTAAAGGCCACACTAGGACTCCAACTCTGGACCTCAGATTGTTATACTAAAGGCCACACTAGGACTCCAACTCTGGACCTCAGATTGTTATACTAAAGGCCACACTAGGACTCCAACTCTGGACCTCAGATTGTTATACTAAAGGCCACACTAGGACTCCAACTCTGGACCTCAGATTGTTATACTAAAGGCCACACTAGGACTCCAACTCTGGACCTCAGATTGTTATACTAAAGGCCACACTAGGACTCCAACTCTGGACCTCAGATTGTTATACTAAAGGCCACACTAGGGCTCCAACTCTGGACCTCAGATTGTTATACTAAAGGCCACACTAGGGCTCCAACTCTGGACCTCATATTGTTATACTAAAGGTCACACTAGGGCTCCAACTCTGGACCTCAGATTGTTATACTATTACTCAAACCAGCGACCTGGTCAGGGGAAGTGTCCTGTCCCAATAATGCTACAAATAGAATTAAGGATTGTTATACTAAAGGCCACACTAGGCCTCCAACTCTGGACCTCAGATTGATATACTAAAGTCCACACTAGGGCTCCAACTCTGGACCTCATATTGTTATACTAAAGGTCACACTAGGGCTCCAACTCTGGACCTCAGATTGTTATACTAAAGGCCACACTAGGACTCCAACTCTGGACCTCAGATTGTTATACTATTACTCAAACCAGCTACCTGGTCAGGGGAAGTGTCCTGTCCCAATAATGCTACAAATAGAATTAAGGGGAGGTAACTGTTTATACAAAAACAAATTACAGTGGAATCTCTGATGTTTTGCCTACAGTGGGACAGGTATCCTTAATTGATGAATTTAATTTTTAATCTCTTTGTAATCTTTTAAATTCAGTAAAATATGTTTTAATAAAAAACTTGGAATCATATTGAAATTAACCTTAATTGATAACTAAGTTGATTTGTAGCTTTCAAAGGGAACTCATATTGGGAAATCAACACAAGCCCTATTTTCAAAAAAAAAATTGGCAAAATTAAATTATAACAAACAGTAGAAGATACCATTTATATAAAGAAGAGTGATCTTCCTTTTTAATAGCCGATGAAATATCGTCACATAGATTTGAAGAAAACCTTTGTAATTCTGTGAAATATTGATTTTGTCTACACCAAAAACAGAATTGTGAATCGTCAAAACACCGAGTTGATGAAAATATTAGTATTGTAATAGCTTATATCATTATTTTTTATAAAATGACCAGCATTGTTTTGGTTGAGTGTTTGATGAGGTTTCTTGCTTTATAGATATTCCGTATTCAGTTTTACATGTAGACATGCATATCCTTACGATGAAAACTAGATTTTTTCAGTCAACATTTTCATGCTAATGGTATTGCCAATGTTTCAGCGAACATGTCTTTTCCTGTGTTTTCTTCTATTGAAATGAGTTGGAAATTTTAATTAACAAACACATTTTTTTTCCTGATTTGATGTTAAGCTGCTTTTAGAGACAAAAGTAGTAGTTTTGGTTTGAAATAGAGTTTCCCATTAAGATATCATTAAGGTAATGTTGAAATGTGTAAATTACGTACAAACTTTTAATAGTTATCAGCTAAAATAAAACATTGAAAGGTAGACCTTTTTTGTCAAATTTAATGTAATTAATTTGGGGGAAAAAGACTTAAATTTCCTGTTAAACCTTTTTGTAGAAGCATAATATGCCAGTAACAGTTTTATTTGTGGTCAGATATGTTTTGCATTTATTTCAATGCAAAATGATATGAATGTTTGTCTTTAGTTGGACTACGTAAGCATCCTGGACACTTAACTCATTCACCCCTGAAGACACATTTAAACTTTTCCAATTCAAAGGTTGGAATGGAATAGGTCATTATGAAATTTCAGGGGTGAATGAGTTTCAAAATTCTCAAAAAAAAAAGCTGTTCTGGTAAAAAAAGTTTAGAGGGCACTTATAAGGGGTGGGCTATCTAAGGTACACCACCTTTAATTACTTTCTGACACTAATACGTATATCTTGTCTCACAAATACAGAAAATTGTTATCTTTGAATATTGTCTGTTGAACTAGAGAATCGTTAAACTCGTGCTTAATTAATTCTCTATTTAGAGAACAGGAAACAAATTTGTATGTAAAATATCAATACTTTAATGAAAGTTTCTGTCATTGTAGCTTGTAGAGATGTCTGGATTTTAAGTTATATGTGATTCAGGAGTTTCAAAATTTTTAAAATCCTAATTCACAGCTTTTATTCACAGCGAGCTGTTATTGAGCCAGATACATTTAGCGATTACTTCGTCAATAATCTGAAGTGTAAAAAGACTGCAGTGTTTACTGGGTGGTGGATGGCCGTCAGTGTTTACTGGGTGGTGGATGGCCGTCAGTGTTTACTGGGTGGTGGATGGCTGTCAATTCAGAAATGTGATAGATTTTGTATTGTCATATTTATCAGATAAAAGGGGCAAATTAATGCTGGAATACTTAATACATTAAATTTGTTTTGTAGAACAGGTGTCTTTTCAAATTGCAGATTTCAAATATTTTGTTCAGAGGATTTTTTTTAATTCATGTTGATGGCGAAGCAGGTCAAAATTTGTTGACACCATGACAAATTTGAATATTTTCTAAATTGCAGATTCCATTCCGATTGGTTAAAGTTGATAAGTTGGCAGCATTTTTACAAAGTTTGAATATTTTAAATTGCAGATTTCAATAACGTGGGCAGTTCTTCAGGTAATCCATGGTTTTGGACAGTTCCTGCACAGAACTGTAAATTATAGTCCCGTACACAAACCTCATGATTATCTCCTATTTAATTATTTTACAGATTTATGTGCACTCAAATTCATGCATGAAAAGAAGAAATTAATTTTAATTAATAAAAAAATAATCATGCATGAGTTTGGCTGGTTTTAGTAACTCAACTGTCCAAAGGGCAAGTGAGCTTATGTCATGGTGCTGCGTCTGTCGTCCTTCCATCATCGTCAACTTTTCCTTTAAACAAGTTCTTCTGAAGAATGGACAGGCCTAGAGTTATTGGCTGAAAGCTTTTTTGGTAAGAGCCCGACAAAGTTAGCGAACAAAAATGACCTTGACCTACTTAAAAGGTCACAGGATTCAAAAATGTGTCAAACGCTTCAACCAAGTTCTTCTTAAGAACTGAAAGGTATAGAATTTGAATCTTCATATTTGGCTGGTAGCTTCCAAACTTTGCCAATGAAAATAACCTGGATCTACTTTCAAGATCACAGGGGTCAAATATGTCAAGCACATCTGACAAATTCTTCTGAATAATGGACAGGCCTTGACTCATGATATTTGGCTGAAAGCTTCATTTGTAAGAGCCTTATAAATTTTGAGAAGGAAAATGACCTTGACCTTCTTATAATGTCACAGGGGTCAAACATGTTAAAAACATCAAACAACTTCTTCTAAATAATCGAAAGGCATAGCATCAAAATATTTGGCTGTTGGCTTCTTAGGATAGAGCTCACCAAAGTTTTAGAATGAAAATGACCTCAACCTACTTTAAAGGTCACAGAGGTCAACAAAACTTCAAATGACTTGTTCTGAAGAACCAAAAGGCATGGATTCATAAGATTTGGCTAGTAGCTGCTTGGAATAGAGCCAGCAAAGTTTGATAAGGAAAATGACCTCCACCTACTTACAAGGTCACAGGGACAAACATGTCAAACACTTGTTACATAACACGCTGATAACACTTCAAACAACTTCTGAAGAAACGAAAAGAATAGAATCATAATAATATTTGGCTGGTAGCTTCCAATGAATAAAGCCAACAAAGTTGGCGATTGAAATATTTGTAGTACAGTATAATATTTAATGAGAATATTTTGAAATGACTGCTCAAATATCAAGGTGAGCGATACAGGCCCTCTGGGCCTCTTGTTTACAGAAAGGAAGATATATTGTAAAATTGTTTTTTCTACAATAGAATTATTTGGTCAATCAAATCTAACTGGCATAAAAGGTGTTTTTTTATCTTGGATAAATTTCTCGTATTTTATCAATACATGTGTCTGTACCTATATGTTTATCAGTAAGTTTTGAAACTCCTAATAATGTGAATCTGTTGAACTCATTCACCCCTGTAGATACATTTGAACTCTTCCAATTCGAATGTTGGAATAATTCATTATGAAATTTCAGGGGTGAACAAGTTTAAAAGGAAAGCTTATTTACACCTTTGCACCATTACACAGAAATTGTTTTTATCTCAGTATATGGAGAAAAGTTGATGCTTCATGGGGAAACCCTAATGTCTGTACTGTCTATCCCAGCCATTATATAGAATCACCTGTTGGCAATTTAATCTTATTTGAATATTGAACACCATTTTTAAGCTATGTTTCATTTTGTTCAATGCTTTGAGCCGTTTCTGGAACACACCAACACCACTGCATTGTTAAAGCATTTTGTATGGAGATGTAACACTAAAACGATATGTCCTCGATGTTAATAGTATTAACATTTTAAAATCTTTGGCTTGTGTTAAGGTGTCTGAGGTCTTGCATCACAAATAAAACTTAAGTCTTCACCATAATTTTTTTTTTTTTTTCAGTGGTAAATTCAGTGTGTAAAATTCTTAATATATATTTTTTTTTGGTTGGAAAATATACATTTTTTTTTAGCTGTTTACAAATTGTTACTCTCAGGAGAAGTCAGAAATAAGTTTGTGCAGCAAGACTAATATTTTACCTTAACTGAAAATTTTCAATATTGATGTCATGAAACTATCACAAAATTAATCCAAAATTTGTTTAAAGGTAATGGATGTAGAAATATGTTGTCTTCAAAAGTTTCCATGCAATAATTCTTAAAGAAATGTGTTGGTGAAATATCCTGCAAATATTTTATATCAGTATAATTCAATATGGCTGCTGGTGGCCATCATGGATTTTGTACAGGTGTGTTTCATGTGATTTCTTTTGAAGAAATGATCAGTTTTGGATGAATTTGCCTGGTATACTATTATTCAATTCCCTTGTTCCAGATACGTGCTTGTCCCACACTCATCCCTATTTGATGAGACTGTTTTTATTAGGACATCACAGTTACTCCCATAGATAACGCTACAAAAACTTTCCAACATCCTACGTTATTGGATGAACATTTTAATTGACACCTAAAAAATTACGTCAAAATAGATTAGATTGCAAAATTCATAATTTTCCGTATAATTGTGAGAAGATATCATTGAGGATAAATTTGCAAGTAAAACTTTTTCTGAAGTCCTTATGTTCATCTGTGGTGGTTAAGCTAAACTTGTGTTCTTTTGCCTTATTTGTTTTTATTGTCACACCGGATTGTAATTAAAATGATGATTTATCTTTCATTTTGATTCGGCACTCACACACACAGGGAGCACTGTAGATACCTGTAAGTTATCTCCCCTTGGCTTGTATTTGGTCTGTTTGGTGCCACACAAACCATCCTTAGTCTTTATTACCTCTGTCATACATGTGATGTCTTCATAACTTATACTGGGGAGATTTCTCCCCCACTCGAAGAGAGATCAAGTATTTTCTAGGGAGATTTGTCTTAACAATTATTTTCCCAGAATCTGATTAGTGAATTTTCTTTAGTTTTGAACAGTATTCATCAATTTGGACTCTATTTGTGTTTATATGCATATTCTAAAAAATTAGTAATTTCTGATATTGCAGCTATTGTTTAGGACATTTTAATTCTTTTATAGAAGTTTTAGGTTTTCAGGGTAAAACACAGGGAGACGTCACATGCATGATCTCCTATAGCCATCATACCCTCTAAGTCACTTCCATTTTGCAATCAATGAATTAAAATAGATTAAAAGATTTCTAAATGTATAATTATTGTGAAATTTGATTAAAAACGGACAACTGGACAAGGTTTTGGGAACTCCCTTCCCTGTTGTCTAGTATACTGGACAAAGTTTTTGGTACTCCCTTCCCTATTGTCTAGTATTCTGGACAAGGTTTTGGGTAATCTTTTCCCTGTTGTCTAATATACTGAACAAGATCTTGGGTTCTCACACCTGCATGGTAATTCAGTATTGCGTCTACAAGTATAAAAGTGATATCATAAACTATAAATCATAATTCTTTTTTTTTGGTGACACAAAAGTAATGGGATGTATTTAACTTCAAAACAAAACATTATAAAAAGTACTCTGAAATCTAATTTGTATGTTGGTAACAATTAAACAGACATGAATTGGAGAATTTGGAGTTCTTTTTTTAAAAGCCCATGTACTTGATTTGGTTTTTAGCTGTCATCCCTTCATGTCTGTCCTTTCTGGTGGTTTGTGCAAATTTTGCTTAGAATTACATACATTTGTTTTTTTAATATGATACAAAACATAATGTGTAGAGGGGGGGGGGGGGGGACACTTCAATGATAATTCTCAAGTATGTGTAGAGAGACAATTGAATGATCTTTCTCAAGTTTGTGTAAGGGAGACAACTCATTGATAATTCTCAAGTATGTATAAGGGAGATAACTCACTGCTAATGCTCAAGTATGTGAAAGGGAGATAACTTATTGATAATTCTCAAGTATGTGTTAGGGAGACAATTCATTGATAATTCTCAAGTATGTGTTAGGGAGACAATTCATTGATAATTCTCAGGTATGTGTAAGGGAGACAATTCATTGATAATTCTCAGGTATGTGTTAGGGAGACAACTCATTGATAATTCTCAGGTATGTGTTAGGGAGACAACTCATTAATAATTCTCAGGTATGTGTTAGGGAGACAATTCATTGATAATTCTCATGTATGTGTTAGGGAGACAATTCATTGATAATCCTCAGGGATGTGTTAGGGAGACAACTCATTAATAATTCTCAGGTATGTTTTAGGGAGACAATTCATTGATAATTCTCAGGTATGTGTTAGGGAGACAACTCATTGATAATTCTCAAGTATGTGTTAGGGAGACAACTCACTGATAATTCTCAAGTATGTGTAAGGGAGATAACTCAATGACAATCAAAGGTGTGTAACATACAATAACTCAGAAGCAATGGGAGCCTTAATGTGTAAGAGATATATCTTTGTGACGACTCATAGGCATATGTAAGGGAGATAACTCTAAACAGCCCACAGGTATAATGTATTGGGGAGGATATATCGAAGAAATTTCAAGTCAACTTCCAGCTATAATGTTTAAGGCAGCAAAAAACCTTAATTGATGTTGAAAGCAGCCCAGATATTTGTTTAAGTTTAGATTCAATTCCACCCTCCACTAAACCCACTCCCAAAGTTTGTGTAAATAGCATACTTTCTTGTTAAGAGAAGGTGTTATTTATATTGTTTAATTCCACTTTATAAGGTGTTGTTTATATTGTTTAATTCCACTTTACATGGTGTTGTTTAGAGGCTGTTATGCATGCATAGCCTCAGTTGTATGAACAGGATTCCCGTTGTTTGAAATGTGAATGGCGGCTTTTTGCTGATATTTGTTTTTATTTTTTTGTATGCGCTGTGTGATCCTTTTTGTGGTTTCTATAATTTCTCCTTAGTATCAGACGTGATGATATAGTATCTATAATACCTACCTTGTCTACCTTCAGGGTTTATAAGTGTCCTATACAATGTATCGGACGTGATGATATAGTATCTATAATACCTACCTTTTCTACCTTCAGGGTTTATAAGTGTCCTATACAATGTATAAATTATGTAGCAAGAACTCGGTTTTCAATGTTTGTCTATATCTTAATGCAATTCTTAGAATTTTAACCCTTTCACCACTATATAATTTTAGTAGACTCTGCCATGCATTGATCTGGATGAGTTTATTATGATCTACAGTGGTAAAAGGATTAAAAGTGAAAGTTTAATTTGCTTGAAAAATGTATATGGAAAAGTATTGATTATGTGCCTTTTTAAAATGATAACTATCATTTGACCTATTATATGATGTTTGTATGGGCAACTAACACAGCTATCACTAATATATATATATATATATCATGCAAAGCTAAGCATTTACAAATAACAGCATGGAGGAATTCACACCATTCATGAGAATAAAGAAGTTGATGGAAAAAGAAGGACAATCTGCCTTTAACAAAGAAGCGTTTGTTACAAATCCTGTTTTCATTGCTTTGCTGGAAACACATGTACAGAGCATATATAATGACAGACAAAATAACAGGGTTAAAAATAATTTCAGGGATGTACAATTCCACTAGTCCCATACTGAGGGCTACATGTAGTAGACTTATGTCATACCAAAGGACGTTTTCAATGTTTAAAATGAAAATATATGTGGTTCCACTAGCCCCTGTCCTAGGGATGATGAACATTCTGTATATGGTACAATATTTATGTTGATCTTGTTTTGTTGAATTTACAAATATATGATCTTTCATGAGTTTCTATTTTATATGAGATTTATGAAATAAGGAGCCTTTAACATTTTTTTCGTTTATAGTAATTTGGACTGTAAAAATTGTATTATTGATATGAAGATCATAACTCTCTTGACAGATGAGTGTTTGTGATTTAGATACGAAGGTCGTGACCTCACTGACTGATGTGTGTTGTGATATAGATACGAAGGTCGTGACCTCACTGACTGTTGTGTTTGTGATATAGATGTGAAGGTCGTGACCTCTATGACTGATGTGTTTGTGATATAGATACAAAGGTCTTGACCTCACTGACTGATGTGTGTTGCGATATAGATGTGAAGGTCGTGACCTCTATGACTGATGTGTTTGTGATATAGATGTGAAGGTCGTGACCTATGTTACTGATTTGTGTTTGTGATATAGATGTGAAGGTCTTGACCCTTATGACTGATGTGTGTTTGTGATATAGATGTGAAGGTCTTGACCCTTACGGCTGATGTGTGTTTGTGATATAGATGTGAAGGTCTTGACCCTTATGACTGATGTGTGTTAGTGATATAGATGTGAAGGTCTTGACCCTTACGGCTGATGTGTGTTTGTGATATAGATGTGAAGGTTGTGACCTCTATGAGTGATGTGTTTGTGATATTGATGTGAAGGTCTTGACCCTTATGGCTGATGTTTGTTTGTGATATAGATGTGAAGGTCTTGACCCTTACGGCTGATGTGTGTTTGTGATATAGATGTGAAGGGCTTGACCCTTATGGCTGATGTTAGTTTGTGATATAGATGTGAAGGTCTTGAACTCTATGGCTGATGTTAGTTTGTGATATAGATGTGAAGGTCTTGACCCTTAGTGCTGATGTTAGTTTGTGATATAGATGTGAAGGTCATGACCTCTATGAGTGATGTGTTTGTGATGTAGATGTGAAAGTCGTGACCTCTATAACTGATGTGTGTTTGTGATGTAGATGTGAAGGTTGGGACCTCTATGACTGACGTGTGTTTGTGATATAGATGTGAAGGTTTTGACCTTTATGATTGATGTGTGGTTTTAATATAGATGTGAAGGTCATGACCTCACTGACTGATGTGTGTTGTGATATAGATGTGAAGGTCATGACCTCACTGACTGATTCTTGTTTGTGATATAGATGTGAAGGTCGTGACCTCTATGACTGATGTGTTTTGGATATAGATGTGAAGGTCGTGACCACTATGACAGTTGTGTTTGTGATATAGATGTGAATGTCATGACCTCTATGAGTGATGTGTTTGTGGTATTGATGTGAAGGGCTTGACCCTTATGGCTGATGTGTGTTTGTGATATAGACGTGAAGGTTGTGACCTCTATGAGTGATGTGTTTGTGATGTGACCTCACTGACTGATGTGTGTTGCGATATAGATGTGAAGGTCGTGACCACTATGACAGTTGTGTTTGTGATATAGATGTGAATGTCATGACCTCTATGAGTGATGTGTTTGTGATGGAGATGTAAAGGTCGTGACCTCTATAACTGATGTGTGTTTGTGATGTAGATGTGAAAGTCGTGACCTCTATAACTGATGTGTGTTTGTGATGTAGATGTGAAAGTCGTGACCTCTATAACTGATGTGTGTTTGTGATGTAGATGTGAAGGTTGGGACCTCTATGACTGACGAGTGTTTGTGATATAGATGTGAAGGGCGTGACCTCTATGACTGATGTGTGTTTGTGATATAGACGTGAAGGTTGTGACCTCTATGAGTGATGTGTTTGTGGTATTGATGTGAAGGGCTTGACCCTTATGGCTGATGTTAGTTTGTGATATAGGTGTGAAGGTCATGACCTCTATGAGCGATGTGTTTGTGATGTAGATGTAAAGGTCGTGACCTCTATAACTGATGTGTGTTTGTGATGTAGATGTGAAAGTCGTGACCTCTATAACTGATGTGTGTTTGTGATGTAGATGTGAAAGTCGTGACCTCTATAACTGATGTGTGTTTGTGATGTAGATGTGAAGTTTGGGACCTCTATGACTGACGTGTGTTTGTGATATAGATGTGAAGGTCATGACCTCTATGAGTGATGTGTTTGTGATGTAGATGTAAAGGTCGTGACCTCTATAACTGATGTGTGTTTGTGATGTAGATGTGAAGGTTGGGACCTCTATGACTGACGTGTGTTTGTGATATAGATGTGAAGGTTTTGACCTTTATGATTGATGTGTGGTTTTAATATAGATGTGAAGGTCATGACCTCACTGACTGATTTGTGTTGTGATATAGATGTGAAGGTAATGACCTCACTGACTGATGTTTGTTTGTGATATAGATGTGAAGGTCGTGACCTCTATGACTGATTTGTGTTTGTGATATAGATGTGAAGGTCGTGACCTCTATGACAGTTGTGTTTGTGATATAGATGTGAAGGTCGTGACCTCTATGACTGATGTGTTTTGGATATAGATGTGAAGGTCGTGACCTCTGTTACTGATGCGGATGTTTGTGTTACAGGTATCAAGGTCGTATTTCAGGCCATGCCTGCAGCGTTCTCCATACTGAACATCCCCAAGCAGTACGCCATGCTTTTCTTCCTGTCTCTCTTCCTTAGTGGAGTTATGTTCCTGGTAAGTTGCTTACTATAGTTAGGTGATTGAGGAGGCCAGTAAGTCACTTACTATAGTTAGGTGGTTGAGGAGGTCAGGAAGTCACTTACTATAGTTAGGTGGTTGAGGAGGCCAGTAAGTCACTTACTATAGTTAGGTGGTTGAGGAGGCCAGTAAGTCACTTACTATAGTTAGGTGGTTGAGGAGGCCAGTAAGTCACTTACTATAGTTAGGTGGTTGAGGAGGCCAGTAAGTCACTTACTATAGTTAGGTGGTTGAGGAGGCCAGTAAGTCACTTACTATAGTTAGGTGGTTGAGGAGGCCAGTAAGTCACTTACTATAGTTAGGTGGTTGAGGAGGCCAGTAAGTCACTTACTATAGTTAGGTGGTTGAGGAGGCCAGTAAGTCACTTACTATAGTTAGGTGGTTGAGGAGGCCAGTAAGTCACTTACTATAGTTAGGTGGTTGAGGAGGCCAGTAAGTCACTTACTATAGTTAGGTGGTTGAGGAGGCCAGTAAGTCACTTACTATAGTTAGGTGGTTGAGGAGGCCAGTAAGTCACTTACTATAGTTAGGTGGTTGAGGAGGCCAATGATGATTGATTTTGGTCACAAGTATACAATATCCTGAAACAGTGAGTGAATGAACAAATGAATGAAGATGTGTTAGAATGTTTTAATAAACTATTAGTAAAGAATTCATAATTGGCAAAGAATTGAATCAATAATAAAATGATAGAATTAAAAAAACAAGTGAAGAAATTATGACAATGTAATTTTCATTCATATATTAAAATAAACACAAGAGATGGGTGAATTTAGATAAATGATCTAGTGACATAAAACGGGATGATACATGACCTCAGCAGAATCTAATGGCTGAATTTGCAGAATCGAGATAAGAAATATGTGGATAATGAAATGAAAGGTTTCAGTTAAGTTGATGCATTTAATGAATATTTGAATTGATGAAAGAATTGAATTGCTGGAAAATATCGCTGTTTAATTTTACAGTCTGTGGGTATGCTGACTATCGTTGACAACATCTGTGACAGTTTGTTTTCCCGATCTTCACGTTTATCGTCTCACAAAATCCTCGTCAACTTCGTCATCTCATTCATCATGATTGTACTAGCCCTGGGGGCGGGCTTCATTCACATGACCCAGGTAATTAGCATATCATCACAGGAAATAAAACAAAAAAGTGTTATTTATAAATGTAGAAAAATAGCAACTGTTTTCACTGTAAAACCTTATATTACACTGGTAAACATATGATAAATTGTTTCACATTAGCATTACACTGTTACAGGAGTGTTATGTTTGTAATATAAAATGTATTTGTTATTACCCATTCACCCCTAAAGTCCCATTTCAACCTTACCAAGTCAGAGAGTGGGCAAGTCCAGTTTCGATACATAGGGGTGAATGAGTTGTTGTATGTAATGCCTGTTGTCTGTTGTAGGCGGGCATGTATTACACTGTACTGATGGACCAGTCCGTCCTCAGACTCCGCTTCATCACCGTCGCTCTGCTGGCATTCTCCATTATCATTGTGTATGGTAAGTGAGTCACTGGGTCATCACTTTGTTGAGAAAACATGATATAAAATTTCGGTACAAAAAAGGATATAAAGTTTAGTTGTTTTCATAAGAAAATAATATTAAGTCTGTTGATCATATGTTAGGACCATGTTAGGTGTTTTGTATTGATGAGATCAAATCACTCCTAATGTTAAATGTTTTCTACATTCCAGTAAGAAATCGTTTTGCTGTAGCAGAAAAAGTGCTGCTGAGTATATGGTGTATACTGGCTGCCATAGGAGCTACTGTAAGTATGAGGGGAAATAACTCTGTAGTAACTGTAAGTATGAGAGGACATAACTCTGTAGTAACTAAGTATGAGGGGACATAACTCTGTAGTTTCTGTTAGTATGAGGGGACAAAACTCTGTAGTAACTAAGTATGAGGGGACATAACTCTGTAGTCACTGTAAGCATGAGGGGACATTACTCTGTAGTTACTGTAAGTATGAGGGGACATAACTATGTAGTTACTGTAAGTATGGGGGGACATAACTCTAGTTACTATAAGTATGAGGGGACATAACTCTGTAGTTACTTTAATTATGAAGGGACATAACTCTAGTTACTATAAGTATGAGGGGACATAACTATGTAGTTACTGTAAGTATGAGGGGACATAACTCTAGTTACTATAAGTATAAGGGGACATTACTTTGTTGTTACTTTAATTATGAGGGGACATAACTCTAGTTACTATAAGTATGAGGGGACATAACTCTGTAGTTACTGTAAGTATAAGGGGATATAACTATGTAGTTACTGTAAGTATGAGGGAACATAACTCTGTAGTTACTGTAAGTATGAGGGGACATAACACTGATTACTGTAAGTATGAGGGGACATAACACTGATTACTGTAAGTATGAGGGGACATAACTCTGTAGTTACTGTAAGTATGAAGGGACATAACACTGTGATTACTGTAAGTATGAAGGGACATAACACTGTGATTACTGTAAGTATGAGGGGACATAACACTGTGATTACTGTAAGTATGAAGGGACATAACACTGTGATTACTGTAAGTATGAGGGGACATAACACTGTGATTACTGTAAGTATGAAGGGACATAACACTGTGATTACTGTAAGTATGAGGGGACATAACACTGTGATTACTGTAAGTATGAAGGGACATAACACTGTGATTACTGTAAGTATGAGGGGACATAACACTGTGATTACTGTAAGTATGAAGGGACATAACACTGTGATTACTGTAAGTATGAGGGGACATAACACTGTGATTACTGTAAGTATGAAGGGACATAACACTGTGATTACTGTAAGTATGAGGGGACATAACACTGTGATTACTGTAAGTATGAAGGGACATAACACTGTGATTACTGTAAGTATGAGGGGACATAACACTGTGATTACTGTAAGTATGAAGGGACATAACACTGTGATTACTGTAAGTATGAGGGGACATAACACTGTGATTACTGTAAGTATGAAGGGACATAACACTGTGATTACTGTAAGTATGAGGGGACATAACACTGTGATTACTGTAAGTATGAAGGGACATAACACTGTGATTACTGTAAGTATGAGGGGACATAACACTGTGATTACTGTAAGTATGAAGGGACATAACACTGATTACTGTTAGTATGAAGTGACATAACACTGATTACTGTAAGTATGAAGGGACATAACACTGATTACTGTTAGTATGAGGGGACATAACTCTGTAATTACTGTAAGTATGAAGGGACATAACACTGTGATTACTGTAAGTATGAGGGGACATAACACTGTGATTACTGTAAGTATGAAGGGACATAACACTGTGATTACTGTAAGTATGAGGGGACATAACACTGATTACTGTAAGTATGAGGGGACATAACACTGTAGTTACTGTAAGTATGAAGGGACATAACACTGTGATTACTGTAAGTATGAAGGGACATAACACTGTGATTACTGTAAGTATGAGGGGACATAACACTGTGATTACTGTAAGTATGAAGGGACATAACACTGTGATTACTGTAAGTATGAGGGGACATAACACTGATTACTGTAAGTATGAAGGGACATAACACTGATTACTGTAAGTATGAGGGGACATAACTCTGTAGTTACTGTAAGTATGAAGGGACATATCACTGTGATTACTGTAAGTATAAAGGGACATAACACTGATTACTGTTAGTATGAAGGGACATAACACTGATTACTGTAAGGATGAGGGGACATAACTCTGTAGTTACTGTAAGTATGAAGGGCCATAACACTGATTACTGTAAGTATGAGGGGACATAACTCTGTAGTTACTGTAAGTATGAAGGGACATAACACTGTGATTACTGTAAGTATGAGGGGACATAACACTGATTACTGTAAGTATGAGGGGACATAACACTGATTACTGTAAGTATGAGGGGACATAACTCTGTAGTTACTGTAAGTATGAAGGGACATAACACTGTGATTACTGTAAGTATGAGGGGACATAACACTGATTACTGTAAGTATGAGGGGACATAACACTGATTACTGTAAGTATGAGGGGACATAACTCTGTAGTTACTGTAAGTATGAAGGGACATAACACTGTGATTACTGTAAGTATGAGGGGACATAACACTGATTACTGTAAGTATGAGGGGACATAACACTGATTACTGTAAGTATGAGGGGACATAACTCTGTAGTTACTGTAAGTATGAAGGGACATAACACTGATTACTGTAAGTATGAAGGGACATAACACTGATTACTCTAAGTATGAGGGGACATAACTCTGTAGTTACTGTAAGTATGAGGGGACATAACACTGTGATTACTGTAAGTATGAGGGGACATAACTCTGTAGTTACTGTAAGTATGAAGGGACATAACACTGTGATTACTGTAAGTATGAGGGGACATAACACTGATTACTGTAAGTATGAGGCGACATAACACTGATTACTGTAAGTATGAGGGGACATAACTCTGTAGTTACTGTAAGTATGAGGGGACATAACACTGATTACTGTAAGTATGAGGGGACATTACTCAAGTTACGGTACGTATGGGAGGGACATCATTCAGTCCCTTGGCAACCATGCTGTAGTGACCATAATAATAAAAAACGGCAATAGTAGGAAAAAGGGTGTCGGGTAAATGTAAAGTATAACAAAAATTATACCAATCAGAGAGATTTCCTTCTGCAGTGATAACAGTGTTTCTCAAAACACCCAATTAAGGTTTTGTACTTTGAGGTTGTCAGGTTGTATTGCTGATAAAATGTGATTTTTTTTTTGGCTATTTCAGGGTTTCTGGTTGTACTCCTTCATCATCACTAAAAACATCCCCATTAGTTACGCGGGCCACCAGGTGTCTGACCTGTGGGAACTCATCAGCTGGCTACTGGCCGGCGTACCCTACATCGCCATCCCAGCCGCGGCTATACACAGCTGTATGCTGTACGAGGGCGACTGCAGTGAGGTAGTTATGGCCCCTTGTACTAATTTATGCTGTAAAATAAAATTAACAAGATTCGGTGAAAAAATACTAACTTGTCATTTCTAGAAAACCCTATAGTGGGTAAAGACTAACTGAACAAAAGTCATTCATCATTTCAAAAGGACCGTTTAGGAGATTTACATTCATTGAACATAATCCATTCATCTTTCCTAGATAACCCTGTAGGAGTTTAAGATTTATGGAACAAAATTCATTATATCATTTCTAGAGGACCTTTTAGAAGATTAACTTTTGGCTAGATTATGTCAGCCATATGTTAAAAGGAAGGTCATATAGCCAAAATAGTGTTTTGATTCCAATTCATTTAACTTTGCTTCGCATGGCACATAGGCACGTCTAACTGTATATAATGCATTTTATTGTATTGAATTTTGTTCAGAGACAAAGCACTAATAAGTTAAACAGTGGCTAAAAGTTCCCTTAACGGTAGTAAATAGCAAAATGTGTGATCTATGTAAATCTTTTACCCAGTCATTTCTTTTCCAGCGGTCACGTTACCTCCTGTGTGGAGGTGATGAAGATGATGACGATGAGGAGGAACCAAGGAACTATGATGGTTATTTCCCCACTGAACCCACAGCCCCACCCTACAGCTACATGGACCCCGGGGGTCAGCATTATAGCCATTCTCTCTACCCTGTTGATGACCTTCACAAAGCAACCTACGACCCTGAGATGGAGCCTCTTAACTCTGACGTACGGACAAGTCGGATATAAATATGGAAATTTAGTGGCTGAAAGTTATAAGTTATGAAATCTACATGTTAAAAGGACTGACGAGGATCCAAGGGGAAGATAATTCACTAAATAAAGGAAAAGAGGAAGAAAGAGTTCTGTGTCTTTGAAAACAGTGATAAAGGGCAGACAACTCAGTAACAATGAAGTGTTAAAACTGTTTGGAGCTATCTGCCCTTGTGACCTGAGATTAATTGGGATTAAGTTAAGCCAGTGTTCTACAAATCAACAACAGCTTGATTATTGATTTCTTCTGTTGTGAACTAGGACTGATAGGACCTGATCGGCTTCCTACAAAACAACAATAATGCGGAGTGATCTCCCCTTGTATGATGAATTGATATTATAATGGATGGGACAGTTGTATTATGTTTGGATATATGCTGTAGTTGTTACTTCTTCAAAGACAAATGGATATCAGATGTATCATTCAGCAGAAATGTTGATAAAGCTACAACTGATGTGGTCCAGTGAAGTTGTACACACACAATATGTTGTGAGGTAATCACCATTTTCCTAATGACTAAATGGGCAGATAACTCTAGAGAAAGCAAGCATCATTGTACAAATGACTTGTTGTTGTGTTAATTGTCTTTCTGAACATTTGGCACAGACATGATGTTAAATGTAACATAAAGAAATCTAGAATTGTTTCTATTTCACAGTTTTTTAGTGATGAGATTTTATAAGAGAATATTTCAGTTTTTATGTTAAAAACAGAAAATACATGTGTATGCACATATAAGCAGGTAGTTTCACAACATCAATGTAAATAGTGAATACGTTTAAAGTGTAATGATGGAACAATCTTGGGACAAAGAAAGCAATGAATACTAGTCAATGTACAGTCTGTTTGGATATATGTTCAAGGGGGGACAACTATATATCTTTCAGGGGAGATAATTGCAGGCAATTGTACACTCTGAAAAAAGATGAGGACAAGTTCTTTGGATGTGAAATGAATGCAGATCATATTTCATGAATGGAACACAACTGTTTAACTGGCTAATGGGAGTTCACAGTTGCAAGATCAAATGGAAATACATGTTGTAAATGTGTAACAAGATATTTGTAATCATGAATGAGACCATTCAGAATGTGTGAACATCAAGGAGATGATCCCAAAATCGAGTGTGAAGCCATTAGCATTGAGGATGTGATCTCCAAAGGCTCAAAGGGGAGGTAACTCTCTTAATCAAACACTCAGGCCATTATACAATGCCATGCACCACTCATGCTATCCTACAGTGCCCTGTTCCACCCTGCCTTTTTTGGAATGGCTACATCTTGTCTCAGGCTGAAGCCACTGGAGCACTGTGTGCCAGTTCTTCAAGTGTAATCAGAAGAGGACAGCATCTATGTCCCACCAATCATAATTATTCAAAAGTTGTCATCAATAGTCTATAAAAAAATCACATTCATCGATGTTACCGATACATCCGGTATTTTCTTATTGGTACCTGTGTTCAATCTGGAAAAGCCAAGAAAATTAACTTGAATTGAACACATGTACATTGCCTTACTTTTAAAAATTCTGACCTATGTGGTAATGTGTCTGTAATGCAATGTGTTTTAATTGTTATTATGACTGGAACATCGATGGGGAGAGTTGATATTATAATGTGGGCTTTCACAGAACAGGCCAAAAAAAATTGGGGAAAAATAGAAATTGATAGTGTCTATATCAAAGGGAGATAACTGGAGGGCATGACCTCATTCACAAATTTATCTACCATGGACTAAAAGCTGTTTTTACATTATCTGATTTTTGTTTTGTTTTGTTGTTGAAATTTTCACAATGACAACTATCTGATAAAAGATTACTGCCCAATGTAAGACATATAAGCTGCCTGACAAGGTCAGAGATTAACTGCCTAGCAAGGTCAGAGGTGAACTGTCTTACAAGGCCAAAGGTTAACTGACCAACAAGGCCCAAGATAAACTGCCTGATAAGGTCAGAGGTTACCTGCCTGACAGGGTCAAAGGTTAACTGCCTAACAAGGTCAGAGGTTAACTGCCTAACAGGGTCAAAGGTTAACTGCCTAATGAGGTCAGAGGTTAACTGTCTAACAAGGTCAGATGTTAACTGACTAACAAGGTCAGAGGTTAACTGCCTAACAAGGTCAGAGGTTGACTGCCTAACGAGGTGAAGTTTGCATTTATCATTCATTATTAAAATTCACACAATGTGTAAAATATTAATAAGGTCTTAGATTATTTTATCAATATTATCACTGGTCGGTGTGTGTTTCATGTTGAGATTTTTATAGCTATTGGATAATTACTAACATAGAGTGACTTACTTAAATCAGATAGCTGTCAAAATTGATTACTATACCATATAGACAAAGAATGAATTATATATGTTTACATACGGGAGAGTTTGTTAATTGAAATAACATATACGGGAGAAATAATTGTTTATAGAAAATTGTAAGAGATTTTATTTATGTAATGTGTCATGTTTTTATGATGAAGTTTACAGAAAAAATGTTTCATCGAAACTTTATGTTGAAAGACAAAAAAAAATCCATAACATCTTTTAACTAAACAAATTAACATTTTGATCTCCGATCATAGAAAAACTCTAGTGAAACATTAGTCTTCTTTTTTTTTTATTTCATCATGAAATTTTTAATATTCCTTTAGGCTTATTAAACCTTCATTAGAGTATTGAATACTTAAAAACATTACAGATTTATTCAGAGATGAATATTGAAAGCATAACCACATTCCTAGACTCCCGTTATCCCTGTCACCACTGTAGACCATACTAGACTCATCCAGGTCAATGAACGGTAGTGTCTACTAAAATTACTTATCGGTGAAACGGTTATTCTCTAAATTTCTTTATCAACCAAACACATTGTTGTCATATGATAGGGTTTTTAGACTTCCAAGATAAGTGGCCTAATCAATATTAATCAAGTTATAACAGTTACAATTTGTACCACTAACTTGACAAAGTCTGTGTGTAATCGAGGCCCACATGTTGCATTCTGGCTACAGATGGGTGTTTTTCTCCGAGCACTTTCGTTTTTCCTCCACCACTGTAAACCTGACTCATATTATAAATAACCATATTTTATTGCTATTCATAGGCAGAAAGTAAACCAAACCAATCATAACCCTCCTAGCACACCTGGCTTTACTTCCTGTTCTTTATTTGGGTAAATTACCCATTTTTTTGGTATCAATGTTTCTTTGGTTGTAGTTGTCATTCCATAAAGACTTAGTTGTAAATCTAGACCTGTGCTTTACACTGTATCTAAATTTAACACATTTTGACCATTTCTTTTCATGATATAACAACAATACATATTTTTCAGAATTTGTATTTGTATTTTTTTTATTTTTTTTTTTAAATATTTGTTAGTTAAAAAAGGGAAATTTATTCTAGCTATTTTGAAGATTTATTAGCATCAAGTGATTTACTCTTATTTAATAGTCACCAAAATTTTTAATCAAATATTTTCAATTAAAATGTTCACAGTGTAACTTTAACTGCTAATACTAGATATATACCTAAACATCTTGTTACAGAGGATATCTGTTCTGTATATAAAACAAATTTCTTTCTCTTATCTTCAGAATGAGAGATTATAATAAAACTTTCCTTATTCAACTCATTCACACCTGAAGACACATTTGAACTCTCCCAATACAAAAATTGGAATAGTTTATTATGAAATGTCAGGGGTGAATGAGTCAATGGATTTCAACGATTTACACATAGTTGTAGATTTTTTTTATATCTTGAATGTTTTTCTTTTGATTTAAAAAAAAAGTGTAGGAGTAGAACTAACTCATTCACCCCAGAAATTTCATAAAGAGCTATTCCAACCTTTGAATTGGAGGAGTTCAAATTTGTCCTTAGGGGTGAATAAGTTAACAAGTATAAAAATGAATTGATCAGCATAATTATTTTTATTAGATCCACCACATGGTTGTGAATGCAGTATGATTGATTGATACTTTCTTGTTAAGTATACTGGTAAAGTATAAGAAGTAATGATGTCTGTTACTTGTTAACCCTTTCACCACTGTAGACCATGATGGACTCATCCAGGTCAATGTATGGTTTAGTCTATTAAAGTCACAAAAGGGTGAAAGCGTTAAGTATTGTTAATTACTAATTACTCTGTATATTGTATTAATATTTATGGCATAATACTCGCTGATATGTGGTGACATGACAGCTTTTACTCATTCACCCCTACATTTTTAAACTGGACTTGCCCAATGCTTGATATGGTAGAGTTTACATGTGACTTTAGGGATGAATGGGTAAATAATAAATAGGCCTTGCCGCTATGTAATCAACACATTGCTACTGATATCATTAACACTCTAGTGAAACGTAGTAATACCTCAGATATCATCTGATTTGTCTTTATTGCAGATATTTGTTAACTTTAATTAAAACATGTGTTCAGATCCGTGTCGACAGAAATACTGATGGCATATCAAACCTGTGAATTCCGTCTTTGCGTATTGCAGAGTTATCTTCTCTTGTGAGCAGGTATTGATTGTTACGTCATTGGTTTGTGTGAGAAAATTACGTCCTTTTCTCTAAAATTGATGACGTTACTGTCACAAACAAATGACGTAACAATCAATACCTGCTCACAAGAGCAGATAACTCTGCAATACACAAAGATGGATTATGTATCATTTAAATTTAGGGCTGCTTCAGAATTAACCGTAGGTTAGGGGTGGGAAACACTTTTTAAGTGACCAAAACACCTACAAAATGTATGAAATTTTCAAAGTAATTTAATATAAAGAAATGGTAGTTGGTTTAAACAGTATTTTATTCATGTCAATTAATATGAACAAGTACAAAAGGCTTCTGATTGTGATGATTGGGAAACAAGTACTAACATACATGTACTTATGAATAGTTTTCTTATGAAAATGAGTAGCTAGATATGGTTTTAATACCACGACCCATAACATTATTACAGGAGCTTCCCACCTCCCCTATCACACAGATTATGGAACAGCCCTCAGATTTTATATATGTAGGAAAAAGTGGACTGATCAACAGCCTACTTGTCATTGTGAAGATTAAGGTTTTTCTACCAAATAATATTGATGTATGAAATTTCATTTGCTAAAAGAGAGTTTAAAATTCTAATGCATGTCTTGTGGTTTAAAATTATCACCTGCACATAATGAGAGAAAAAATCTCCATATCATTTTCAAAACATTGAATTTGGAAATTGGACCTAATGAAGCATGATTTTAATGACGATTGATAAAACCGAATTTAGACATCTGACTTGTATGGTTGATAATTCAGTTTATATTTTATAATCTTTATCAATTGTATATTCTAAACCTCAAAGGCAGAAATATCCCCGTGACTAATGCCAGAGGTTGTTTTGGCCACAAATATTACTGTCAGGAAGGTCGGAGGTTGTTTTGGCCAAAAATATCCGAGTCATTAATGTCGGACGTTGTTTTGGGCAGAAATATCCCCATCATTAAAGTTAGAGATTGTTTTGGCCAGAAATATCCCAGTCATTAACGTCAGAGGTTGTTTCGGCTACTTTGTAGAGATAACATTGACGAGTCGCAATACTCATTTCATATTCCTATAAATATATTTTAATATTTTTTTTAAGTATACTGGTAAAGTATAAGAAGTAATGATGTCTGTTACTTGTTAACCCTTTCACCACTGTAAACCATAATGGACTCATCCATATCAATGCATGGTAGAGTCTACTAAAGTTACATAGGGGTGAAAGGGTTAATATAGATTGTTGAGTTGTATTGAAATAGTCGTTAACTTTTTGTTTAGCTTATGGTTTTATATTCATTAAGATAACGTCCAAAAATGAATCATGTTTGTAATTTGATTCAAATATTAACACAAACTAGGTTTTTAAATAAATCAAATCATATGTTTGAAATATGAAATTTAACACATCTTATTTTTATGCGTAACAAATAAATAATTGTTTTTAAATCTCAAGCTTTAATCACTTAAAGGTTTTAACGAAATTGTTTTAATGTTTTAGACACTTTAATTAAAAATTCACACAACATTGCTTAAATGACAGCATTTTGTACCTGCCCAACATTTTATATTGTTACACTATCCACTTTGTTTTGTAAGTATTGAACACCAAATGATGTGTTGGTATTTCTGTTTTGTTTATATTCTAGGATTATACTTTTTTATTATGTTGTTATCATATTACAATTTTAGCCTTCAATTCCCCAGTTTAATGTCCATGTTAAGCATTCTAAGTAACATTTGAATTAAAATGTTTATAACTCTTTCACCACTGTGGACCACAATGGACTCATCCAGTTAATGTATGGTCGAGTCTAAAAAAGTTACTTAGGGGTGAAAGGGTTAAGGTCAAATACATTATTTACCTCAGACATATGAGGAATTCTAATGATTAAAACAATGACTAGATTTAACTTAGGTATAAATGTTCATGTATATTTTACTGTATTGACTAGATATTTATTTTTTAGGCATGTTATCATAATAGAAACTGCAAAAACAATACATTTTAACTTTACCTATGATGTAATGATTGATGAAAATTTTGTGATTTTTATATTATTCTGTATAGAATTTTCCTCAATGTGCAGTAACCATTCCATGTTGATCCTAACTCCCATGGTAGTAGAAGTTTGTTAGTATAATGACAGCTTAACTCATTCACCCCTGAAAACACCTTTGAACTCTTCCATTTCAAAGGTTGGAAGAGTTCATTATGAAGATGCAGGGGTGAACGAGTTAAACCAAAATTTTATACCTATTTTCATTAAAAAAATATAGAAATTCAGAACTGAAACATAAAGGAATTCAAAATGATCATACCAAGAGGAAAAAAGAAGAAAAATATTTGCAGATATTGCTCAAGAAATCACCTTCCAAAAATCTGGGTTGTGGTGTTCAGGACTTATTAACATAATCATTTATCAAACCTTACTTTCATAGAACAAATATCTTCCATGCAATTTTATAGCAACTCACTTTCTCCTTTTGTGAGTAAAAACTGATTTTCATCGTGTGATATTTTTAAGTGATTTGATAAAAAGTTTTTTCATCTTTGGTCAACAAAAAAATGAACTAGGAATTTTATTTGGGTGTATTAATGTTTGCGATCAGGTGTTGATAAAATGGTCAAGGCAACATATATTGAATATATTTCATCAACATAAATATTAGATTATTCCTGGAATGAGTTTTGATATTTTTGATATAGAATGGAAAGGTCTTTTTCATCAAAATAGATATAACTGGTAACATTTTTTTTTTCAAATTGGAAAAGGTGCATGTTTACTTATTTTGATTTATTTGGTATGTCAATATTTGATAATTACTTTAACCATGGTTTTCATATTACAAAAAGTAAATCTTGTATGTGGATTTGAGCTGCTTTTTTGCTGACTGCAATGCTGCTAGAATCCTACTTATCTGGGCCAAGCTGTTTGAAGCATTGTCTTCTTAATGGACTGTTAATTCAAGTTTCTAGATTTCATAATTGTTTGATCAATTTGTAATGAAATATGTATGTTTCATGATCAAATACGATCATGTTTAGGTTAATGGTACCAATCATTAAAATGTATGGATTCTATTTATCTCATTCACCCCTGAAGATCATAATGAACTATTCCAACCTTTGAATTGGAAGAGTTCAAATGTGTCTTCAGGGGTGAATGAGATGAATAGAATCCATAAAAAAACAAAAAAACGGAAACAAAAACCCAGTAGGGTTCAAACATTAAGACCTATCAGTACCAGTCCTACTCTTTACCAATGATGCTATCCACACACAGCACCTAAATAAGTGCCCAACCTTTTTGCAGAAAGGCTTCGGGAATATAACAGTATTTAACATTAAGAGTAACTAATTAAAGCCAGAAAACAAAATTTTGGTTGCGTTTTTTTAAATATAAAAGGGAGTTTGTTCTTGGTCATAATACCTGTTGTGTGTGGAAGTGTTCTTATAAGTGACGCAGTAGTACCCTTTACCGTAAAACTGGTACATTTGTAACGTGAAAATATTTGTATAATTTGAGTTCATTACTTAAAACATTATGATATTGTCAGACAAAATCTGTTCAGTCGACAGTGCTTTGATAGTTTCAATATATCAGGGATCATTTAGGGTCAGAAAATAGTGGGCAATTCAAGTCGAAGTGTAACGTTATAGGATATTTTACAAATAATTTGATATGAAAATGAAAAAAAAATGAAAATTGAAAATTCATGGATCAAATGGAATTTTGATTGCCAATGGCCCCATTGCCCCTCTAAAACATCCCTGATAGTGCATTATGTTAACGATACTGTGGTTGATTACATGCTGAAGTTGCCTCTATTTTACGAAAACAAGTATGGTTTATTTTAGCATGCTAAATAGTTGGTGTCAAGCATCACTGAAACAATGCTGAAACATTGCTGGAGATGCATTTTCACATTTTTTGTGGGGTATTAATAAATGTACAGTTGATTTATATGTCATAAATGTAAATCTCAACCCTTTAGACATTTTAGATGGTTCAGAGCAAATGAAAGACGAGTCTACTTTCAGTGCAGAGGGTAGGAAGGGTATACATATGATCAAGCTTTGAATTCAAAGACATTTGTATATCATCGTCTTTTACTACTTTGTAAATGTATATAAATATATATCTATACAAGAGTTTTCAAATAAACTGTTTGTAAATTTCAGCGATTGATTTGATTGTTGTGTTTTAAAAGTATACAAGTGTACAACATTTGATATAGAACCCTATCTAGCTAGAATAGGCCACTCTAAAGCGCTTTACAG